CCAATTATCTATGAAGCCCACGTCGTTTTTTGGACACCACTCGGATGAAACCAGGAGATGTCCTTACTGAATCATCAGAGCTGAACAGGTGATGGAGAAACAGGTTTACCTTTTAGGTGACATGAATGAGTTGAAGGCAAGTTATGAACTGTTTCTGAGAGACAAATAACACCAGGATCGTTTTCTAAGTAGCTGACAGCTGGTAACTGCAGGGGCGGGTCTAGCAACGTTTTGCCAGGTAGAGCATTAACTGCTCAAAATGCCTGGGCCCATTTTTTGTCCCAGTCGAGCCCTGGCAGCGGCTATTTAGCGGAGAGCTCACCTAGTGAAACTGCATCCCCATCCCACTCTGACACCAGTGGAAAAGACCACGAGAGAGTAAACATTGTGAGGTGTGGGCCCTGGCTCACCTGCACCAACTTTCTGATGAACAAAGTGTGGCTGCTGTCTTCATCACACAGGATCACATCAGCATTTAATGTATGTATGTGAGAGCTGCAGCTCATGGTGGTTTCAAATGACTGTGGACCGCACTGTCCGGCTGGCTGTTAACAGCAGAGTCCGTTTTTCCATCTTTGAAGAAAAAATGGCACGAGCTTCCTATTGAAACGTCATTTCCGGCTCCTCTGTCTCAAAGCAAGATGGCGGCCGTGATAGAGAGAGTTGATGGATGTGTTGGGTCCTTGGACTCAGATATCGTGTCACTAAGACATACACCCCCTCCATCGGACCAGCAGCACCAGAACAACCCCCTGCTGGGCCTGCCCATCGTGGCCATCGAGACCATCCTCAACTTCCTGTCCTACGATGAGATCAGCCTGCTGCGCTCGGTGAGAACAAAAACAGCAGCAAAGCTAATGCTAGCCAGGGCTCCGAATCCTGTTTGGGTAGCACTCGTGTAAAGGCAGCGCAGACATCAGGCTGTTTCACATCCGTGCTCCAGTCTGGAGCCGTCTGTTTGCAGCCACGGCCCGCATTGTGCTCCTCGAATTAGCAAGACAGCCGAGATGAGCAGGGCTGGGATACACGACACAACACTATCACCATCACACAACTGTCAGAGCGCAGATGAGTGTTGGTCACGGAGTTGTTTGCAGCCAGTACCGGGCTCGTGGCTGTCCTTGTGTAACTCTGTGGGGTTAGTAGAAGCCTCGCAGCTCCATTCACCTACACTTCAGTCTGCTCGGCACACAGCCTGGAGGCTCCGTTCTTCTCCTGCTGTGCAGAATCAGTCGCTGTCATGTGTTAGTTTGCGTTTGCTGAGGAGTTCGTGGCTCACTGGCTAAGTGAGGTAATAAGACTGCTGTGCACTACCCGTGTTTTCACTGACATTTGCAGATGAACGAACCGTTTTCCTGCTGAGATACTCATAGCTACTAAACACTCCCCTCTTGATGCAAAGTATTGTGACATGTAATACAAACAAGATGTGCAATGAAGATTTTTTTTTGTCATTACACAATGCTCTGTGGACTGTGTCATACCTTACTTACCAGTATGAGCGGTGCAGCTGTGTCAGCAGATACGTATCAGGTCAGTGTCAAATGACTGTTGATATTTGATGATCAGGTTTAACAAAGTGACTTCATGACTTCTGTAAATGTGGACTTTTTCCTTAAGCAGCAGAAAGCGTTTCCTCCAGTCTAACCCAAAGTAGAATTCAGCCATTGCTTTTTCCTCTGATCCCCTTAACGGTGACATTCGGGAGTAGTTCTTGCAGCAGGATTGTAAGAGAGGATGGTAAATATTCCTTTGAAAACAACAGGAATGATAAGAGCCAATGTATCAGCTCTTAAAACTGTGAATGTAGAGACTGGAAGCCCTCCACTTTATCCAAAGCACTGTGTCAAGAATCCCATGTAGGCAAATAACTTGAAACTCTGAATTGCTACGTACTCATCAGATTACCTGTCCACCTGTTCTCTCTGATCTGTCTTCAGGTATGCAAGCGTATGGACATGATTTGCCAGCGTGTCCTGAATCAGGGATTCCTGAAGGTGGAGCGTTACCACAGCCTGTGCCAGAGGCAAGTCAAAGCCCAGCTGCCCAGGTCAGTATCACATCACAAGTTATTCCACTCTCACTGCACTCTGGTTTTCTTCAGGAACTCTCCTTTATTTAATTATTTGGCCAACTTTAAGAAGCTTGGAAATGACTTTATACTTTTTCCTTGATCTGAATGAATTGGCTGGCACTTATGTAGAGCGCTTTTTTGTCATAATCATCTCATCCTTGCACAAGTATTTTTTCTAAATTCTTCATAAGCTGGGATATAAAATTCACATGTACCTTGTACTAAATGAAAGCATTGTATTTAAATGCAGAGGAGGGAAAAGTCATTGTTCATAAAACAAAACTACAGGTACTGGTTGGTGAGTTAGGACATTAGGAGACAAACCCAAATAAAACATCCTTAACAAACAAAGTGTGTTCTCATGATATCCTTCTGGTAAGGTGCTTCTGTCAGTAGGGTGGGATTTAAGTTCTTGATTCCCATCAAGGACTAGAGCATGATGGGTAACGTCCAAACTGCATCCAGGATAGAAACAGCTGCATTATGCTGCTAACACAACTTCAGCTCCTTCCAAGCACATGCACAGAGCATGCTAATTCTAAGCTAGCCACGATCCCAGAGTGATGTGAAAACTGACTGAATGCTAAGCCGACCACAGCGGCCAGACCCTGAACTCCAACAGGGAAGAAGCTTGATAATCAGTCAGGCTGCAGTGTCCGTTTATACGGGTTCAGCTTTGTGTTCATACCTAAATGTCAAGAGAAGGATCATTTGTGTGTCCTTATTAGGGATTTGAGCTGGTGGCTGGGACTGCTTTACACAGTCTGATCTTTCAGACCCTTTTTATTACCCCTCAGCTGTAAAAGGCTGATGGGGTTTTGCCTCCTCCTGTGTGTTATGTTTTACGGAG